TTTTTTTTAATTACCTTAAATAGCTATATTTAAACTGCTGATTTTTATTTAACCTGGCTAGGTTTTAAAACTTGAAACCCAATCGAATACAAAATTTAGAATCCGATCAGATCAGATTTCAAAATTTAGAATCTGATCAGATTAGATTTCAAAATTTGAAATCCGTATCCGATTCGTATACAAACAGATCAAAAAAATTTAAAATCCGATCCGATTCATTCAGATCAAATCCGTGGATCATTTGGATTCAGATAAAAATTGAGATCCCTACCTGTATGGGCCTCAACTTTAATAAGGTCGATCTTTAAATGGTTGCCTATGATTATATTTTTGAATTCCAAGTTTTTATGTTTTTTTTAGGTTGTAAATATAATTTTTTTTCATTATTTTTTGAATACTGTTGATTGCTATCTGGCTGTCTGTGTAAATATTGGCTCTGATATATGAGGGGAGTGTACTTATTGCTATAAGTATAGCTATCAATTCTGCTCTAGTCAATAAGGTGAAGTTTCTATTTGTTCTTGAAATTGAAGTTCTTGATTATTTATAATTATTACTATCCATTCAAAGCTTATTTAATATTGGTTGCAGTAGTGTAACATAAATTCATCAGTGTATATCTCAAAGTTGATTTCATTTTGTATTTGATTTGTGATTGTGATTAATTCCTCTAGAATAAAGGGTGTTATGCCAATATTTTTCTAATCTGTCCAAATATCTTGTTTTCAGTAAGTATTTGCACTTCTATATTGTGATTTGTTGATCTGTGTTCCTATTCTGTGAGCACGATCATAATTGACTTTGGTGAGACTCTACTTCTAAACAGATTATATTCTTTCAGGATATTTAGTCTATTGAGATTTTACTATATTGTACTAGAATTGTTATTGTATTCTGTCAACTAATTGTAAAGATACATATGGAGTTGAATCAATCTGTTGATTTATGTTGTATTTTGTACATTTATTTTGAGAAGGTTCACTGTGTGCCTGTGTATAGTGACTATATACTATTGAGTTATTATCTATCTTATTTTATTTTTTGCCAATAATTAATTCTATATTCTTTTTAATTGCTATCCAATATGGTTTCAGTGTCTGTATATTTGTTATTGATATATATTACTAAAAGCAATTAATTTGTCCTTGTTGTTTATTAGTCATCCATGTTTGCAGTTTGTGTTATGTTGAAGAACCATGATGGAGTAGAGCCTAGTATTGATTTTCAGTGGATTCTTATAATTTGATCCAATATAGCAGTTTCTCTCTATTACTATTGAGGAGTTGTTCTGTAAAAAAATGTTATATTTCTTTAGGTTGAAGTGGATTCTTTTATAGAATTCTAGATCAATTATTTCTTCGATGATAATGTCTATCATTTTTATGATCATGAAGTTGTCTTTTTGGACTTTGTGAAATGTGAAGCTGTATATTCTGAGCATCCAAATTATATTATGTATGAGATTCCTTCCTGGTTCTAAAAGAGAAGCTTGTATATAGTTATATTGTATATTTCTTTGATTGATCAGAATATGTTTTGTATTGACTATAATTGATGACATGCTATATCTCCTGTAATATTATTTTGATTTACTCTATTGTACCAGTTATTGACATATAGTTCTATTTGGCTATTCTATATTGCATTATATTATATTTGTATTTATTATAGAGTATGCTGTTGAGTATTATATTGGTGAGTTTTATTTTGTGTTTGAATGACATTATTAGTTTGCCCATTAGCTGATTGCAGGTTTGTCTGGTTAGAGCTATATCATTGCATAGGTATTCTATGCTAGGCATAAAAACTTGATTGATTATATATTATTCTTATTTATCAGTAATTTTTTTTATTTCAATTAATATACATGTGCAGATTACCTTTTGTTTTATTAGGAATTTTTGATAGTCTTTACATTTTGAGCTGTTGTACCATATTCCTAGAATTCTTACTGATGTATTAGGAGGATATTCTTGTATTTTCTGGTTGTTTATCAGTACTCCTTGTTCCAAGCCTTTCTTTGTACTATTGATGATGATCAATTGTGACTTGGGAATTGATTTTGATGTCATTGATATGGTAGAACTCTTCTGTTGAATGGATAATTTTTTATAGATCTGTTTTATTGTTTATTGTCCATGTTGTGTCATCCATGTATGCATTGACTGCTATGTTGATAGTCCTCTTTTTCCATCCTGTTTTTAATTCTGTGCATGTTCTAGAGCTGATTGTATATCCTTTATGTTGTTAACTTATCATAGATAGTAGTGGGTCATAGAAGATATACCACAATAATGGATATATTGTATCTCCTTTATTTATTTCATCTCTTACCTGATACTTATCTGTTAACCTATAGCATGCTATGACTGCATTTTGATGATCTTAGAAAATGCTAAACAGAATTATTATTATTGTATCTGGATCTTGATTCTTTAGAGGACCAATTGTAATATTTTTAAATTAACAGAATAGTATGCTTTTGACATATTTTGACTCAAAATCCAGAATTGTTATTTAGTTTCTTTCATATGTTCGATGATACTGCTGATTATATAAATTGGGTTATAAGTACTACTACCTGAGAGTGTGACCCAGTTTAGTTCAGACAGTATTCCTTTGTGAGTCAGACACTTGGCCAATCTATTCATAATAATTTTGATGAATATTTTTCTTCTTGCTTCAAATAAAGTGATAGGCTAGTGATATATAGATATGTACCCAGTCCTTGGGCTTGGGTATGGAGTATATTTGTCCCTGCTTCATTCTCTGTATATATGCCTTGCTAGATAATTGTAGTAAAAATTATTTTGAGTTCTTCTCTTGCTTTGTTCTTCAAATATTTGTATATTAAGTATAATATCTTATTGGGGCCTGAAGTGGATTTCGAGTTGTATTGCCTGATTGCTTGTACAAGTTCCTCTGTTGTGATTTCTTTTACCATACCTTTGTAGTGATTCTACTTAATATGTGATTTGGGACTGTATTCGGACTGCCACTTGGGATATTATTCTAGGTTTTGAATGTTTTTATGTTGTGTCCAATTATAGAAATGTTTTTTTACTTTAGTCTTAATTTTTACTGGTTCTATGATTATTTTTATTTCCTTTCCTTGTTGAATAATGAGTCTGTCCAGTAGTATCTTCTTTCTGATCTTTCCAGGATATTGTTGATCATGGATACTTGTCATTATTATATTATTCTTGTCTTATCTGAATTCTTTTTCTTATAGCAATATTCTGTCTTCTATAAGAAATAACCTTTACAACTGTTTTGTGTATCTTTATGTTATCTTGAATTATTTTACTCCATTTTTCAAGATATACTATATATTAGGGTATTTGGCTTCTAATTCATCAAGTGTAGACACTAGGTCGGAAATGAATCTTTGTATGCCTACTGAGATCTGAAGTGGCTGATATGTTTTCCCTTCTTTTTTATCTGTCAATTGTTGTCTTACTTGTGTAAAGAATTTCTGTAACTATATTATGAGTATTACTTTATCTATATCTTTGACATGGTATCTTTTTCTTTGATGGATTTCTTTTTTTGAATATATTTCTTAGCTGCTTTTTGAATAGTGTCACTGAACTGATTCCATCTGTAATCTATGAATTGGTGACTTATGCATTCTATTTGTATGTTATTCTCAATGTATTTACTGAACTTTTCCCATTACTGGATTATGGCAAGTTGCCAGTTGTATCTGTGGTTATGTTTGTGATAAGTTATCTATTTGAGTATATTAATATTCCATACTTCTAGCTCTACTATCATTGTAATGTGGTCACTTAGGATTGATTGTGTGATGAGATCTTAGATAAAGACTATTTTTGATTGTCATGTTGCTTGTGGGCTTATCCATATTTGATTAATTCTACTGCTGCTTCTCCCTCTGTTCCAGGTATGTTCTCTTTTTATAGAATTGTGTGTTCTATATATGTCTTTCAAGTTATTATCCAAAAGGATTTGTATTTGTTTTCTTGAAAGACAATATTTTTTGTTTGTCTTTGTATTGCTATACTTGTAAATTGCTAAATTGGGAACTCTATTCATATCCACTGCTACCATAAGATATCATTCTTTTTCTGTCACTTCTTTGATCCATTTGCTTAGAGTGTTGAGTACCATTTGCTTTTCTTTTTCCATGTGTTGTATAGAGAAATATACTCCAATTATTCTTATTTTTTCTTTGGGTGGGAAGGCTAGACTAATTGCAATGAGTTTTCCTGCAAGTGTTTTTAATTGTAAATTTTGTATGTGATATCCTTATTGATTATTATATTGAACTCTTGTCCACTAGTTTATGTTTTTTTGTAAATTCATATAATTTAAAATTTCTTGTGTTGTCAGTGTTTTAATTGTTTATTTGAGCCATTTGTCTTTGTAGTATCTATGATATCCCAATCCACCACATTATAGAAGTTGAATCATGTTTTATGTTTATGTGTCTCTACTAGACCTTGAATATTGAATGTTGCGATTTTCCATATTGGTTTGTATTCTCTATATGTTGTTATAGATGGATATTGTTGTACTGAATGCTGCATTGTTTATGTCTGGATTGGGATTTGAGGTTATTGCTGAGTTGTTTGTTTTTTCCATTTGTTGTTCTGCTGTATTGCAAGAGTTTGTTGTTTGATTGTTTTTAGAGTTGATTGATTTATTTATTGATTTGGTGCTTTGATTGCTTCCCATTATTGTCTATGTAGGGGAAGGGTGTGCTGCCTGAAATAGAGTTGAGTACAGTTTTGTACATCAGATTTATGTGTTTATCTAGTTTCTGCATAGATAACCGAATACATTGTTGTTGAGTACAAATGTCTTGAGTACTATTTTAGAGTGTTTTGTATATTAATAACCTTCTGTATCAAGGAGGAAAATGTCTTCATCTATTTGTTTAGATAATCTTTGTCATATGTTTTTAGATTAACTATGCATTCTTCTAGATCAGCTATGTCTTTTTTTATCTCTTGGATCTCTCGCTTGATTGTATGGAGAATGTGGAATACTTCTGTCATGGTTCTTTGAGGATTTTGATACTTTGTTTCATCTTTTTTTAATAATCTTACTGCTGCTATGTAGAAGCCTTACCTGGCCTTTCTTTGATTGTTGTATATGTTTGTCCTTTATCTTATGGTTTCAGTATATGCTGGCTTGAATCTATTGTACAGTTTGCTAAATTTGTTAGCTTGTTTTGTTTTGTATTGATTTCAATGCATTCTTCTTTCTTTGATTGAACATTGAGTGACCAAGTGTTTGCACTTCTACAGATAGTATATAGTTTTGTGTCAATTAGTTTCCATTCTGCTTGGTTTTTTTAAGGAGAATGTTTTATATTGTTGCTGCTTCCAGGTTTTCCTGGTTCATAAAGACAATGATTGTGAACTGTTTGTGTCTATATGACATGTACCTAGAATGTAGTATGTCTTAGCTCCAGTTTGTTTACAAGTGAGTCTAAGGTCGAAGACTGTAGTATTGGATAGGATATTTATTAATTTGACTATAATACTTTCATATACCTTTATTTGATCCATATCCCATTGTGTATTAAAAATTTTGACTGAGTCTGATTGTAAGAGAATATTCTATTTGACAACTAAATCTTCTTTTACCTATTTATCTACATAATAGATGACTGATGATTGTCATATTTACTTATAGATATATTGATGTTTGGAATCTCTCCAAATTTGGCAAATGTTTATTATATCTCTATGAATTTTGTATCTAGGAGAATGTCATATATTCTGATATTGGTTTCTTTATTTGATCTAGGAGATATAAAAGTCATATGTTCAAAATGAGCTCCATTTATTTCAAGTAAGATAGTGTTTCATGCTTCTTTTGCAGTATAGTAATCACTGAAAATGGCAATGATGTGTTTCTCTTCTCCTTTTTCTTTGCTGTGAGTAGAAAGAAGACCAGTAAGCATGTTTAAGCTCTTTATGATATGTACAGTCTTTTGGTTAGTGATTCTTCCTAAAACTTCTAAAGCTATAATGCCTATTTTTACTCTTTCTCTTTCAAATCTTGTTGTTGGATTAATCAGTAATCTTGATCCAGATTTACTTATTCTATTAACTGATATGTTTCTACATAAGACTTCATGCCATTGCCCATTGGATTCAGGTCTTGTCTGACTGCTATTGTTTGATTCCTTTATTTCTATGTCTGGGTCATCTATTTTTGTTATTGTGAATGAGACAGAAAAGTTCTTGGACATTTCTACTTTTATTGCTATTATCAGTTTGAATATCCTGTATAATCATTTCTTTTACTTTGTCATTCCAAGTTGGTTGTTTTTTATTGGTTTTCTTTTCTCTATGTTTTTTGTACCTCTGGTTATAGTTTGACTAATATTCTGGTTTCTTGGTTGTTCATTCCTAGTATTTTATGAAAGGATTTCTTTCTCTTTTTCTTTGTTTTTTGGATTTGACTTCACTGTCTCCATATAGGTTTCTTTACATAGCAATCTTGTGTTACCTTTTATTAGGGTGTTTTCATTATAGTTGGGCCTGCCCTGAATATATGGGCTTCTTTGGTCTCTAGAAGAACTCATCTTTCCATTTACTTTTCTTCTTATTTTCTAAAATTGTCTAAAAAGAAAATTTTCAAAAAAAAAGGATCTGTGGGAAATAGTTTTTTTTTTTGATTTTAATTAAAACTATATTCAATAAAATAATAAAAATATAAAATAAATACAGTATAAAGTAGAACTTGTATGAAAGAAAAATAGTTGGATTTAAAGTCATATATAGCTATTACTTATACTTTGATTAGTCTTTCAGTTTGGATATAAAATAGATATACCTTTGCTCTAGTTTGTAGAAGTTGAGCCTTTATTAATGATATAGTTAAATAAGTTTTTTATTTCTTCAAAGCTTTTTAACCCAGTTTTTTGAAAGCCAAATATGAAATTTATTGTTTTACTGATACTAATTTAATACTTTTGTCACTCTTAATTCTTTTTTTAATATTTATATAATAGTTAAATAATACTATTTGGAGTTGATAGAGTCTTTGGATATGTATTCTTTTTTATACTGGATATTCTGCTAGTTATTTTATATCTCTAGCGAGTATTCATTGTTGAAAATGTTTCTTAACCCTGGATTTGATATTTTCTGGTTTAGTTATTATAATAGTTTTCTCTTTCTCTACAAATAGCTTGTCTAAAATTATATCTTTGTATAGTTTATCCATAATAATATTTATTATTATTCTTTTATTGATTGTCAAAAATAGTTATTTGATTTTTTTTTATGTTTGATTATTTGATTTAGTTTCTATAAATTATAACCTGGATAAAAATTTTGTATGCTTATATGACTTTCTATAAATAAATGATTTATTATAGAATAAAGTCATTGAGAAACTCTTTTTATTAGATCTCTACATATATTTCTTGTAGGGGTTTTTTACTTTGGACATTGGTTTATATATTTTTTGTATTATTCTTAATTAGTTTTAGTAGGTTTACATTATTATTACAGCATTTCTTATTTATCACTTTTCTTTTAATATTCTTTTTCTTTAATACAATTTTCTTTTGAGAATATATAGTTTGATGGCTTTCAGGATATGATTGCATATAGTAATCTACTGTTTATTAATTGTTATCAGTTTATTGCCTTGTTTTTGAATACTTTATTTACTTCTTTGCCAAACTTTTCCTATTGTTCACTATTTGTCAGTTGCCAGTTATATCTGTGGTTGGATTTGTAGTAAGTGTTTTCTTTAGATAAGTAAGTTATCATACTTCTATTTCAGGGGTTGCTTACTTATAGTTGCTAAAAATCAAGGGTCTAATGCTTCTCCAATATATACTTTCTTATTATATCAAGAAGAAAGAATATTCATTCAAATTTGATTGATTTTACTATTGCTAATGTTACAGTTCTATAAGTACTCTCTCTTAGTATTTTCTAAGTTGTTTAAGTTTTCTTGTTATCTTTTGTTCTCATAATCTGTATAAAAGTATTTACTGTTACCCTATCAAATAATATTCAAATCAAATAGATAAATGGGATAACCATAGCAGTAATTCACTTTAAGTTGAGGAAGAATACCTCAGTCATGGTATACTAAAGTTGGTAATTCAAGAATAGTAGAGATTATACAAATACATTGAAAGAAGCTTTGGGTGATTTAGTTTAATTAAAAAATTTATTAGAGATATATAATATCAAGGATAAGAGAATTCAGTAGTTAAAACCTTGGATCAACTGCTTTGAACAACTGGTCTTTATATATATAATTAAATATTAATTATTTGGTGACAAAGTAACCAAAGTAACCAAATCTGCCAGATTTGTCAAATTAGACCAATATACCAGATCTGCTTACTTGGGTAACCTGCTAGCTAAATATAAATAAGATATGAAAATTAAATAATGAAATTAAATAATATGCATATGTCATTCACTATTTCGCTTTAATGATTGGATCTAACCTATAAACCAATAAGACATACCTGCATTATATGTGTCATATAATCTAAAAATAGAACTAAAGTAATAGGATAGACAAGAATTATAGATAATAATCAAAGTAAAATATAACTAATAATTAAGGCTAACAATACCTATAATTCTAAGTTTTTGTTTCTTTGAAAAGTTATATTAGTATAAATAAATCTTTCTTGCCATGTATTATAGTAATATAAACAGTTAGCTATTTCTTTGTTGGGCATTAAGTTTAGGTCTTATCTGATTATTTGTTTTTTATTGCAAGACCATAATATATATTAAAGTAAATATTACTAGTGTTTGGATTGGTATTAGGTTTCATTGATTTCCAATATGACCATTATGTCTCATTTATTTTAATATTATTTGAATTATATTTTTTTCTTATACTTGTTAACTAGATCCAGAAATATTGCAAGTAGTTATTGTCTATATATTATTTATTGTGATATAGTATGTATGTATAAAGGGATTATATCTAATTGTTTTGTGTTCTCTGTTTGAGAATTGTTCTTTTTCTTTTTTTTTCTTTCTATATATTATTGGAATAGTTACAGTATTTTATGATTACTTATATTTGCTGAGTTTCTAGTCATTGATAAGTAGATGTAGTGTTGAGAAATATATTTATGTTCAGAGTATTAGTGATGACATTGAACATTTTTTTATATTTAGATCAAAGTGGTTTATTATTAAGTGAATTCACTATTGTTGTAAGTGGATATCTTATAGATTTTCAGAAGTTTCTTTTATGTTTTTCATTGAGTTGTTTGTATCATGATAAGGAGTCAGTTTTATTTCATTTGTTTTATGTATTCTTTATTATAGCTCTCTGGGTTTATAATTTACTTATTCAGATCAGTGATTTTTTCTTTAATTTCTTCAATTTCTTATCTAATTGCTTTAAGGATGTTTAGAACTTCTTTCATAATGTTTGTTTCTATAGGTATATTAATGTGTTTATTATTCTATTTTTACTTTTGTTTCTGTCTAGCTGCTACTGCATATAAGATGAATTATATTTTCCTACTTAACTGCTTATTTTTAAAGAGATTTTTGATTGCTTTGGTATGTACTGGTTTGTATTTGATGTAAAACTTATCAAAAATTTAACTGTTCAGAATGGTATTAATTTTATTGTATGAATCACTTTTGAAAAGACAGCTTGCCACCAAATTTTTTGTATTGCTGTAGATATGGCATAGTTTGGTATTGATTGATTTTCATTTAACTACAGTTTCTTCCAAATAGAAATTTTTATCTATCATTATGTTTTTGGTTTCTATGCTATCAAAGCTAATCATAACAAATTTTTTTTCTATAGAAAGATATTTGAAAATATAATATAACTTAGCTTTGATTTGTTTACAAATAAGCCTTAAATCCAAGGCTATAATATTAAGTGAAAAGTTGGTAAGCTTGACTGCTATTGCATTTCTTTCTTTTATCTATTTTATATTCCATAGTATATTAAAGACCCTAATTGAGTCTGATCTTAGTGATATATTTCATTTATTGATGATTGACCATTTTCTTTTCTGATTTTTATAAGTAATTATAGTAGTTTATCATATCTATTTTATTGTCATTGTAATGTTGATAAACTCACTATATTTGATAAAAGTTTTCACACTTCAATGAACTTTATACTCAAAGAGATGTTCTATACAATTATACTATTTTTTCTTTTTTGAGAAGGAGTTGTGATTTTTATATATTCTAGATGCATGTTTTTTGTGTTTGGTAAAATAAGATTGCATGTTTCGTTTATAATTTGTTTGTCACCAAAAATGGTAATATATGCTTATTTTTTTCTTTCTCTTTACTAAAGACTAATATTAGGCTTACAAGAAGTCTAAGTTTCTTGTCAAGAAGAAAATCTTTTGCTGTTTATTCATCCAAAATTTTGCTTATATTAATTAATGTTTTGACTCTTTCTTTATTAATTTGACACTCTATTGAGTGGAGATTTAGGATGGGGTCTATTATACTGATTGATTTTGGATTTGTACTTTGATGTGATTTGTTATTTCTCTTCCTAAGTAAAAGTATTTTGAGATGAGTTTTCTTTAGATACGTTTTCAATTTTTATCTCTATATATGTTTTCTCAAGGTATACTTAATAGTTGAGAGTTGTTTGTTGTCACTAAGATTGTTTACAGTATTTTTTTGTTAGGCAAGATTATTGTTTTGGATATATTAATTAAAAGTTTTTTTTCTACTTGTTTATTTTAAAGAGTATTATTGACTGTAGTTTTTACTTACTTAGAGTTATTGAAATCTTAAAAATTGATTTGTTGTAATTTATTGGAGATTATTAACTATTTAATGGATTTATTTTCATTCCTTATAGCTATTTTTTCTTTATTTTAGTTTTTTTTTTCATGCTATTCAAATTTATTTCTGTGCACATATTTTTTGTATTACTCTTATTAAAAGGTTTTTACTGGTTTAAGTTATTTTATAATATATTATTTTCTAGATTTTTGATAAAAACTTATTTCTTTTATTCATTTTCTTTTTTTTTTTCTTCAAATTTTTAAAAAAGGATTTTTTTAGAAAAAAGAATCTATGGCAAAGAGTTTTGATAGAGTGTAACAAATATGTATATATATATAAGTTTATTATATAATAAAAATTATAAATTATTATTATTTAAAACTTTAAAATTTTAAATTAAATAGTTTATTATATATTATTAATTTTTTTTTAAAAAAATATTATTTAATTATTATAAATAAATAATAATTTTTAT